TCGTCTCATTGTAATGGACTATATATTTACTCCGAAAAAGAAAGTAGCCGAGAAACGTAAGCCAAGAATCAAGTGGTGGTTACTGAATGGACCGATGCAGAAAGACTTCCTGGCAGAGGTCGAAAGTCATCAGCTCTTGACTAACGCCGAAACTGCCCAGAAGGCTTGGGATCGAGCCCAGACGGCAATCATTACGGCGGGGAGGCGAATTCTCGGTGTTTCCAAGGGAGGTCGCGTCATCGACAAGGAGACATGGTGGTGGAATGACAAGGTTCAGGGATCGTTCGGGAAAAGAAGGCCGCATTCAGGAAGTGGCAACAATCCAACTATCCTGAAGACAAAGTGCAGTAAAAGAGCCAGCAAAAGAGCTGTAGCCAGAGCCCGCAGCAAAAGCTTATCACCGCTGTACGACAAGCTAGAAACTGCGGAGGGGCAAAAGGTCATATTCAAACTGGCACAGGCTCGGGATAAAGCGACGCAAGATATCACAAAATGCCTTTGCGTCAGGGATTCCCAGGGCATGCTATGCACCCCTGCCTCTGTGAAGGATAGGTGGAGAAGCTACTTCCTGGAGCTACTAAACAATCACCATCCGCATAGCCTTCCATCAATACCGCCCCCTAACCTCAGACTTATTGCCCCAATATCACCTGACGAAGCCCGTGATTGTCTTCGCCGCATGAAGAACCGGAAAGCGGTGGGGCTTGACGACATACCGATCGAAGCGTGGAAATCGTTGGGCTCTCTTGGTGTGGACGTGGTCACTGATCTCTTCAACTGCATCTTGAATACTGGAAAAATGCCCAATCAGTGCCGTCTCAGTTATATCACCCCTATTTATAAAGGGAAGGGCAGTGTTCAAGATTGCGGTAGGTACAGGGGGATCCATGGTGCCACACCATGAAGCTCTTCGAACGCATTATCGATCTCAGGCTTCGCCGAGAGTGTACTGTCTCTGAATGTCAATATGGGTTTCGATCGGGATCTGGCACCATGGATCCTATTTTTGCTCTCAGAACTTTGATGGAGGCGTACAGGAAGAGAAGGAGAGCTCTGCATCTAGCATTCCTGAACCTGCAGAAGGCCTTTGACTGTGTACCTCGTCAATGTATCTGGTGGGCATTGCGATCGAAAGGCGTCCCTGAGGCCTATGTCGACATTATCAGAGACATGTACCACGATTCCACGTCCATGGTTAGGACCGCTGTTGGCGACACCAAGCCCTTCCAGATAACTGTAGGGGTACACCAAGGCTCGGCTCTTAGTCCGTTCTTGTTCAACGTAGTCTTAGATGTGATCTCGGCTCAGATACAGGACCAGCCACCATGGCTGATGATGTATAGCACTCGTTGATGAGAGCCGGCTGGAACTGGAGCAAAAAGTAAACCTCTGGAAGGGTACGCTTAAGAACGGCGGTCTAAAACTCAACGTGGTGAAGACCGAGTACATGGCTTGTGGAAGCCCGGACTCTAGCACGATCCAAATAGGTTCTGAACCAGCCGTTAAGTCGGAATCGTTTAGGTACCTTGGATCTGTTTTGCACGAGTCCGGAAGCATCGACCATGATGTCCAAGCCCGGATACGCGCTGCTTGGGCTAAGTAGCGAGAGGTCACAGGTGTGGTCTGCGACCGCAGGATACCGCCCAAGCTCAAGGGACAGGTGTACAAGAGCATCATCGGACCGGTACTTCTGTATGATAGCGAGTGCTGGCCAGCTCTATCTCGGCACATTCAAGAGCTTCACGTCACGGAGATGAAGATGCTAAGGTGGATGTGTGGCGTCACGCGGGCTGACCGCATACGTAACACATTCATCCGAAGCAGTCTCGGGGTCCGTGTTGTAGCGGATAAGCTCCAAGAGCGGCGCCTGAGATGGTATGGCCATATCGCACGCCGGACGGAAAAATATGTCGGAAGAATATGCCTTGATATGCCTGTCCCAGGAGCTAGACCTCCTGGCCGCCCAAGGAAGCGATGGCTGGATGTTGTGAAGCAGGACATGAGAACCAATGGACTGACCCATGAGGACGTCGAAGATCGGGCAAAGTGGAGGAGTTTAAGTAGGAAAGCAGACCCTGTCAACTGCTGGGTTAAATGCTAGGTAGAAGAAGAAGAAGAGATATGAAGCCAATAACTCTATTCCTTGGGTAAAACATTCAGAAAATGGGCACATTAATCACTACCTAAAGATTGAAACAAGGCTATATGCTCTTTGTGGAACAAATGGAAATCTGTCATATAACTTCTACTCGTACATTCAATCATTTTAATTATTTTGTTAACTTAAAGTAAACATGTGACTCTAGGGTGAAAAGCTAACTTTCTAAAGAAATAACAATAATTGAATTTTATATTCAGATTACAGATTATGGTCCTTTCCAATTATTTTTAAGTGAAAAATTTTTAAGGGAAAAGTCTTCCGGATTCGTATTAACGTCCTGTGGGTCATGTTAAGTCCCAACACTCGCACTTAATGTAAAATACGCGTCTCGTGGGAAATCTAAATGCGGTACAAATCTTAATTATCGGACAAAACGACTTCGCTCAAAACTCGTCTGAAGAATGAATGTAAACAAATAATGCTCATTGATTGTTTTGCTTAAAGATTTGTTATTCAAATTAAACTTTAATTATTACGTTTATGGTTATTTATTTGCATTAGACTTATATTTGCATGTACAGTTACCTGTGTTCGCAGTGTTTCATTTAAAAAAAGTTTGCCTTAATCCTTACAAGCGAGTGGAACTCCGCCCGCTTTATCAGGTAGCCAATATTAGATCAATAAAGATTGTATATTTATTCGACGTCATTATAAAAATCAAAACAACTGACTTGAGATGAATAATAAGATAACTGTTTAAATATATGCCTATGAAAAAATAATGACTTCGTATTTGACACTATCCTTGAATGACACACCTAGAACGAGAATCTTCTTACTGCCAACAGATCTGCTGCCAAATACGAAATCGCTTTTGGGTTTTATCTAACGCCGACAAAAAAAAGGTCTAGGTATTAGTAAAGGTAATGCCGGGAAGCAAAATCATTATCAAGAAGTCGTAAAGTGGCGATGTTATGATAAAGAGGCGTAGCCTATCGTAATTACTGCACCTTTGATATTAAAAGTTGTCTTGACTTTTCAAGATTTAGTAATGTGCATGATGTAAATACTAGGAACAAGCATAAATTAGTTCTACCCTCAACTAGATTGCGTAGAATAAGTAAATCTTTTATGGGACAATTTCGTATACTTTTACAACAAAATCCCAGAAAACGTTCAAAATGAATCCATTGCTAAATTCAAAAAACTTGTAAAGGAACGTTTGTGTGTTAATGGCTATCATATTATTAGTGATTATTTGAATGATAACACACTCTAGAAATGAATTGATCGCTCCAGGCCCTTTCAAGTGGAATTTAACAAATTGTACACCTATTTGTAATTTGTAAGTAAAAAAAATGTCCCGCTGAGTTTCTTACGCCGGTTCTTCTCAGGTCAGTGGCTTTCCTTCCGGTGGTAGTTTTTTTGACTATCAATAAGTAAGTGTATGCTCCTATATTGAATAAAGATATTTGACTTTAACTTTGACTTTGTCACACTGGCATATATTTCGTACCGTCGAGCACCGTCGAGCGACTAGGTCTACAGTTTACGAGCATGCATAGAAAGATCAAATCATGCCAAAATAAAATATTTAACATTTATGTCGGAACTTGAGCTGTGTTCTCTGTTGAACTGTTATCAGTCACTAAATAGCACTCAGACAAAATGGAGCCCAAACAAATTTGTATAATACTATAATCTAATCTTCTTCAAAGGTAATTACTTAATTGAGCGAGCCCTTCGTGCCCACACACATACATTTTAAAGTGTCATCCTATTGGTTATGGCATTCGTGTTATCGGATAGCCGCTTGCACATCGTTCAAACGATTATCGCCCTAAGGGTGGAACACCACGAGTACAGGTGACTGTACATTATTACATTATTAATTAAATTGATCTAATATTTTTTTAGCTTTTATAAGAATAACAAAGTTAAAGTTCTTAACATGATGTTTAAGATAAAATTTCATAATATATTTCATAATCTAGAGGCAAAAGGCACGGGGACGAAAGCTATTTATGAAAATGTAAGGTAGTGTAAATACTGTAAAGTGGAACATGTTTAAGCTTATTTTTTACTTTATAATATATAACATAAAATTATGTTCGTACGTACTAATTTATAATCATCATTTCATAGTGTAAGCATCCACTACCGAGCATAGGCCTTCTCTAGGGATTTTCACTTCAATCGCCTATAAGCGGCCTGCATCCAGCGAAGTCCGGCGGTCTTAGTCAGGTTATCAGTTCATATCTCGAGAGGCCGCCCCACGCTTCGCTCTCTGACAAGCGATCTCTGATGATGATGATGTAATGGCGACATCTTTCCTTACAAATATTCTTCGTTGTTATTTGTGAGGCGTTGTATGTTGCAAAAGATGCACACTAGATCGCGTCCAGCATTGCTACAAATGCAATAGAACGAACGTAGATAGATTTCAAGATTTTTCGTTGTGAGGTCTTCGGCCGCTTAGCTTACTTAGCTAAGTAAAACGTCTAGGCACGAAACCAGAATATGCAGGTTAGAATCCGGCAGTACCGAAAGTTTTTGCTCATTTATCTACAAAAATTTACAATATACATACGTAGGCACTAATTCATCGAATATGAAAGAAGCAAAAGCTGTGGTTATTATGTTTATACAAAAAAATGACTAAAATGTGTCATAACAAGTGTATAATTGCCTATTATTCAGGTAAACAAACGAAAATTGAAAATAAAACATTTTTATTCTAATATTATACGTACGACTAGATAAACACTTAAATTTATTACTGTGATTTACGATTAATACCTCATAATGTATTTATATTACCTCTTTTACTTAAATAGAATTATATTATTTAACATTTCTTGTACACTTTTTTTTAGAAAAAAAAACAACAAAGTATTTACCTTGTTTGTAAAACATAACATGTAACTAATGACACGATAATCAAACCCGGTGAAGTCAGAACCAAGTAACCTGGAAAAAGGAATATTTTTCTTTAATATTTTTGGCCTTATTACAGTTATTAAAAAAATAGGGTTTCATTAAAGGGACATTACCTGAATCCGGAGATGCATGTTGTAAATTTGTTGTTTCTATCAATGGTGGATCTAAAAATAATAAATAAAATTATAGCATAGTATTTTCTATTAAACCTAATAGAGTAAGGTGAATCAATGAGAGTCGTGATATTAAAACGAGAATAGGATAAAGGGATAGCCAAGGTCAGACTTAGCGCAGAGTCCTGAGAGTACTATGTCTAGCATTCGATTGGTTTATATAAAAAAACAATACTATATAAACACGCATCAATTACTTCACTATGGAGATAAATAGAAGTTTTCTTTTTAAAGTGCGACTGCTTCTCTACTGGCAAAGTTTTTGTATAAACTAGAAAAGAAGAGCAAGTGCACATTAACTTCTGCTACTTACTATATCATGAAGTAATTGTAGTAACTGCAGGACCGAGCTTTTCGATTTTTTTGGTAAATAGTGTATTTTGGAAATGAAAAAATAAAAAAATAAAGATAGAAATGATCTAGTATGGAAAAAAAGTAAAAAACATAAGTGTTCGTGACACGAACCGCGGCCTTCTGTTTCGGGGCCGCTTTATTACCGACCGAGGTATTATAACATTTTTTTTCGGCGAAATTTACCGTCATATTCGAATGATTTTTTTCATTTCCTGAAAACAGGAATAAAGGGACATTTTCTAAAAATGAAACCTAGCTAGATCGATTTTTCGCCCCCGAATCTACGCTATAAATTATATGTACAAATACATATATGTACAAGAAATGCTCGTTTAAAGGTATAAGATTTTTATATTTTATTTAAATGTATAGAAATGTAATTAGGTATTTGTTATAAAAACAGTTTACGTACCTCTATAGAATAAATCTCTTTTTCTGCTGAAGTAATTCGCTAATGGTACCTGCATGTCACATAGTATTTCAACGGTTGGCGGCAGTAATTCGATATTAACTACTGCACTCGTAAGAGCAGTGAAACGACCCTCGAAGTTCTTTATTGATGATTTAGCATTCAGCGGCCTGGTGACAAAGTTTATTGATAACATTTTCAAGAGTAATAACATTTTTAAAGAGTTCACATCAAGACTTTATTTTAATGAGATATTTTGGTGAAATAGAAGATAATCAATAATTTTTAATTATGTTGTATACTAAAATTAAATATTATTCCTTCTGTAGAATGACTCAATTCTTTGCCTCAGAAATTAATTATAGCTAGAAATTCTTGTCCTATGTAATAATCGACCCACGCTACGTGACGAAGCCTGTCGCGTAGCAACTGTGCTTACCGATCATCTAAAATATGTATTTTAGTAATGTTTATTATACAACTATCAAACAAGTCTTTTAGTAATGTTTATTATAAAACTCTACTTACGAGGCTACTACAGTCCACTGAGCAAACGGTGAATCAACTGTTATTCTCTCTACTGTGTACTCCAGATGTCCGGATTGTTAGCAAACTTTCCTCAAGCATTCCAATTATATAGTCTATGATGCAAAGTTAGAGAAAACATAAGGAACTAAAATATGATAGCAGCCGCTATAGAATATTGTAAAATAACTGTTAGTGGTGACTTTAAAGATTATTAGGAAAGCTTAAATGAAAAATAAAAATGAATTGATACACTCACGGTGTAAGACATTAAGGAAATATATTGCGTAATTTTTATTCATCATTTAAACAAGCAGACAAAAAAATTGTTAATCTTCTATTTAGAAATGGTTTATATTATTTACAAGATATTGAAAATATTATAAGCAGAGGTATTAATTAAAAGTACATAGTTTCAAATTGTATAGTGTACAATTTATAACCGTGAGTTTTTATAAAGACAAAAGTTTAAGTGGCCATCCATTCAGTATTAAGCAAGGACGTATGCAGGATCTTATAGCAGTTTAGACGAAGATCCGGGCCCTGATTTTATTTGTTTCTACTTTTTGAATTTCTTGAAAAGTGCTCAGTGAAATGTACTTAACCGCCTCATACAGCGTGTCGTTACAACCGCGACAATAAATGAACACACATATAGAGGATAACTTTTTAAAATTGTATTAAACATTTACATTCTTTAAACATCAATATTCACCGAGTTATTACATTTTCCAAAACAAACAATTTTAGAACACCTTTACGTATTAAACTATAACCGAAAGTTCATTTGTAAAGGTCACAAAGCATATGAATGTGTTGAATGAATTTAAAAGAGATAAAACATACTGTTAGAAGCAGAGACTTTTAACGCGACGCTGTGGCAACGAATGATTCCCTGAACGTATGAATCAGTCAGTTGTAGCTGAATAGGCTTGTTATAAAATTTGTTTGTTTTTTATTTCAATAATTTGTTTGATTTTTTTTTTAAATTATGGATTTATTTTAATTTTGATTTTTTTTATAGTTATTGGCAAGTTGCGTTCGACGTATGTTCATTTATTGTCGCGGTTGTATCGACACGCTATATAATAATTTAGACTAATTTTATTATTTACATAATATTTTTTTATTTTTTTCACTACTTTATACATCCTAACTTAATCTATTATACTTCAAAGGTCGAATGCCGAAGACGTGGGTTTGATTCCCAATCAAACCCACGATCGGACACAGACGATCTTTTCGTAATTTTTCTACAAATTATAATAATAAAAACAGAATAAAAAATATTTAAGTGGGGCCCTCATACAAATGACATGATTTTTTGCCGTTTTTATAGATAATGGTACGGAACCCTTCGTGCACGATATTCAAGTCCGTGGTGACGGCACAGACTAGGTTATTTTATATCCTAATGTCTATGTTAAATTCCTTACTTCAACTCCCCTCCTGCCACCGTTAAATTTTTCATAAAATGTTTAGTACGATCTACGTAGTATTGGTGTGCTTGGATTTTGTAAACTATATGTTACTTGATGAGGTTTTTATAGCTCATTTTGTATCCATAAAACTCTCTATTCTCTATTTGTGTTAACATAAGAAGTAACATCAATATAATCACAAGCATCAATAGTGGGACTATTATTTGCATTATATATTTGCTATATATTTTGCACATTATATATTTATAAAATATTATAGTGGTAGCAAACTAGTTCAATATTTTTTACTTATTATAAAACCTGTAGAGAAGAAGAATATAATTATATGAAAATTAATAATATCTTGTGTAACGTGGGACATTTAATGCTTGTCTTAAGCAAAAAAAAAAATAGTTATTGTCGTGTCTCGTAGGCATATTTAATTTATTTATTTAATCTTTATTGCCAATCTGCAGTAAAACAAGGTAACAAAGGGCGGACTTAATGCCCAAAGGCATTCTCTACCAGTCAATCCAGGATGTGGTGACAGTTTATGGTAATTTAAATTTGTGGTAATTTAATCAATTTATTAGATAATAACCACCTAGTTTGTACTTTAAAATTTTTATATTGTCATTATTATGTAGAGCTTTGCTTAATTTATTCAAAGAAAATTTATATGTATACATAATTCGTACCTGTTTCCGACCAATATTGCAAGTTCAGGTTTAGGGAAAACACCTTCGACAGAGCAAATAATATTCAAATATCCATCGTTTAGCCGGTCTTGTATCATATCGAACCTCGTTTCGGGTACTGAAAATAACGTTTGATTGAAGTTAGAAATAACTTTTGTTGCAGTTTCAATAATGTGTCATAAGTCATCATAAATATCTTGTTGTTATCCCTTGCTGAAAAAAATTTCATATTAAGTCCGATACGTTAATGTAATCACGGGTTTGTTTGTAAATTGCTTTTAGACCTTGAATTATATTGAAATTGTGCAAAGGCTTTAAGTTTTAGATCCCTGGAAAATTGGTTAAATTTGTTACAAAGGCTAAATGCGTAAAAGAGTTTTATCATGCGACATATACACAAAGAGGACATCAAATTTTACGATTATTACTAAGACTTCAAATGCTTCTGTGGCAGTCAAATCTAATGGTATAGTATCATGCGATTCGCAAGTAATAAATGTTTGAGTAGAAGAAATCATGCGAAGGAATATATAAATATAGTTTATATTGAGACCAAGAGGTATGATTATTTGATGAAGACGTCATTATAAAATTTATTTCCATAATTATACTTTTAGCGACTTAATAAAATATGTGTCACTTCTTTTAATGTTTTTGGTATTATTCAAAACAGTTAATGCGCAATGATCTTGTTTCATTTATTATGTTAAAATCTCTATAAATTTTAGAAATTGAGTTTTATGACGATTTTGAAAATTAAAACGCGTTTGATCTTTAAAATTATAATGTTGCTTAACGTTTTTTGAGCTGATATAAAAAATAAAGCCTAAGAATATCCTACTTACTAAACTTTTAAAAAATAAAATGGGTAATGACATTAAACCCGAAATAAGATGAGCATTTAGATTATATACATATATAAATATTATATATATATATATCTTATCCTTTAAACGAGCAATTCTTATATATATATATATAATCGGGATCTCGGAAACGGCTCCAGCGATTTTCATGAAATTTAGTATGTGCATAGATTCGGGGGCGAAAAATCGATCTAGCTAGGTTTCATTTTTAGAAAATGTCATAATAGCTCGGCCGTGGTTCGCGTCACGATCATTTACACATTTATTTTTTAACTTTTTTTTCGATTCCAGATCATTGCTTTCTTTATTTTTAATTTTTTGTCGATTTGTTATTTTGTAATTTTTTTCCTTTTTTTTTTAAGTTCTTTCTTTTGTGAAAAACATCAGTCATAAGAAAATACGTCTTATTATTACGTCGGTAACATCGAAAAATATTATGCATATTTCATTACTCAGTTATTTGTATCTAAATGTAATTTCCAAAATACACGATTTACCAAAAAATCCTCCGGGTCCTCCGGGTATTATATATATATATATATATACAAGAATTGCTCGTTTAAAGGATAAGATATATGTAATCGGAATCTCGGAAACGGCTCCAGCGAATTTCATGAAATTTAGTATGTGCGTAGATTCGGGGGCGAAAAATCGATCTAGCTAGGTTTCATTTTTAGAAAATGTCCTTTTATCCCTGTTTTCAGGGAATGAAAAATATCATTCGAATATGACGGTAAATTTCGCCGCAAAAAAAAAGGTTATAATAGCTTGGTCGGTATCGGGCGGCACCGAAACAGAAGGCCGTGGTCGTCGTCGTTCGATCATTTACACACTTATTTTTTTACTTTTTTTTTTATTCCAGATCATTTTCTTTATTTTTAATTTTTTTATTTCCAAAATACATAATTTACCGCAAAAAAAACCGAGAAAAGCTCGGTCCTCCAGGTACTTGCACTTTATGTTTGAAACCTAAAAAGATATTTTTATTATATAAATTTCAAAACATATTTGGCTTACGCCCCTAAGTCTTCGTAAATGATATATCATTGGTGGTTCTGTGAATGAAAAATATAAATTATCAACTCGTTGTTCTGATGAAAATCTTAAGTTGCACTATTATACATATCAAACAAATGTAAGCCATTGCCAGGCTAATAAAATGGACTTTTCATTATAATTTTAATAGCTTTCAATTTAATGTTTATCGGATAAAAGTCAGATCGTATCATGTATTGATTGATTTCATCGTGTAAACAAAACGGTCATTTGTATTCCATTAGCTTACTTCTCTTGCCCTCGCATTAGTTCAGCATGTTTAACGTATTGTATCGATAGAATTTTAATTTTGTGTACCGAATATCTGAAAATGTTTGTATGTGTTTTTGTAATTTCCAATATTTTAAGTTTATGCAATTCATTATACCACGTCTCTGTAATACTTGCTCTAAGCTCCGAGATAGGTATTTGCATCTATATCTAATATATAAAATTCTCGTGTCACGGTGTTTGTAATTGAACTCCTCCGAAACGGCTCGACCGATTTTCGTGAAATTTTGTGTGCATATCGGCCAGGGTGGAGAATCGGACAGCATCTATTTTTCATCCCCCTAAATGTTAAGAGTGGTCCACTCCAAACATTTTTTTCTACCCGACAAATAATTTATATGGTAAAACGTTTGCCGGGTTAGCTAGTCTAATATATAAAATTCTCGTGTTACGGTTTTTGTAATTGCACTGCTCCGAAACGGCTCGACCAATTTTCGTGATATTTTATTTGCATATCGGCCAGGGTGGAGAATCGGACAACATCTATTTTTCATCCCCCTAAATGTTAAGGGTGGTCCACCTCAAACATTTTTTTCTATGCTACAAATAATTTATATGGCAAAACAACGTTTGCCGGGTCAGCTAGTTTACTTTAATAATCTCACGTTATTTAAGTTGAAAATACAGTTACAAAATTAAGACATTATATACTATTTTGTTTGTGTAGCCCTCAAATAGGCAACTTACAAGAATTGTGATATTTAAGTTGCTTATGCCCTCTGTTATTACGGGTAACCGCCAAATATCATATAGTTGTGGGCGACACCGGTGCCTAAAGTTGCACGATTTAATTTCCGTTTTGTCTGATTATTGTTGCTCTAGCGCAAACATTTAAGTTCATTGTGTTAATTGAAACCGTGTTAGGTAGATAAGTAGCTTTTTCAATGTATTTGATATTTAAGCTTTTTATTAATCAATAAATGTTTTAAAACAAATGAATTTAATTAAGAGAAAAATAAAATTGAACCCTACTGCGAATCCACGATCCAATACCAAGAGTGCTAACTATTTACCGTATAGATATATTAGACTATCATGATCATACTTCTACCTTTTTTTAAACCTATGTGGTATCAATCCAACGAACAACATGTCCTCTTAGTGTTATTTATAGCCTTTTGACGACCTTCTTGGAAAGTCAAAGGTTGGCAAACGAGGTGGATCACCTATTGTGCCGCCCATGGACATGCGACATGTTACGAACATTTTTTAATCTTAATTTATTTAGTAATAAGTAAGTAAGCCTAACAATATTTTGTTCATACTTTTCGTTTAACTTTTATTCATTTCTTTTGTTTTAATTTTTAAGCATGCTGTGTTTGCCTCTTAATAAGATGTACATTAAGTTGTAACATTAATTCCTGTTTCAATATTATAATATTCAATATTGTTTTTAATGTAACATGTACTGGCAGACCTAATAAATAAATAAATAAATAAAAATTAAACGCGACTAAGTAACACTTCCACTTCGTGTCGGTCTGTGGTACTTCCTCGGATGGGCCTACCCGTTCATGCAACAGCCTAAGTTGCTGCGTGACCTTAACAGTTAAATCTACCCAAACCCGTGGGTTCTGGCTAGCCCACCGGTTCTGCGTCAGATGAAGCTTTAATAGTCTCGGGACTGAAAGCAAAAACATCAGTTAATACAAGATACAAGTTAAATCTAAACAAAATCACATCCAGATATATGTAGATATTTACCGAAAATGGTCATGGGGCGTGTTTTTTCATCTTCGTCAAGAAATGTTGAGACCACACACGTGTAGTTCCCCGTAAGCTCGGTGCCGGGTTGCCGAATACGTAGAGCTCTGTGCTGCGTATACGGATTGTTAGAGACTTTGTAAGACAGATCCAGCTGAAAATAAAGAAAAAATCATCGACAAAATTTCGACTTTTAAATAAAAATGAGAGGAATAGAAAAGTTTTTCTACTACTGAGAGGGTAAAATATTAAAGTTGTGTCTACCTTATTATATAAATGTATTTTCAAATCTTATTTTATATTTATATAAAAAGTAAACATTATAAAAGTGTACATTATTTATAAGAGAATACAAGGCATACCAGGGTGAGGAAAAAATACTAGTGAAACCTTGGCACATACATAAAGTTACTTAATCCGTAGATTGTGTTACAACATGTTATCCACTTTCAAGGCAAATATTAAAATTAAGTTAATGAAAACAAATGCCATGTGATTTTCATTTGTTGAGCTAATGTTACATATCATTACGTTATATAAACTATATATAGTGCTCGATAATAGCCTGTTAATTATTGTTTATGATGAAATTTAAGGTGAATGCGGAGAAAATGTACCTTATTCTTTAATAATCCCAGGGCCTGTGGTTTTTGCGGAGGTATCCACTGATACACCGGCTGTGATCGGTCCATATAAAACCATTTCACTACTAACCCCGTAACGTTCTTCATTACATAATCACAGTCTAATGTTACAGTTTCTCTAGTGCCATATTGAATGACTTCTGGAACTCGGATGTTAATGATTCGGACAGATTGTACACCTGAAATTAAACGGATAATATGGTATGAGTAACAAAAAATCATTTTCAAACGAAATGTCTTATGCAACTGTATTTATAATGCTCCAATGGAAAGAAATATTTAAAATGGGAAATAAAGGCTCGTTGATGGAAAATGCTTCAATGTCCCTATTTAATCGGATTCTTCTTCTTTAGAAAGAGTTCAAAATTTTATCATATTCCATGTTTCAAACGGCTTCAATACTGATAACATTCAGTTATTGTTTGATAACTTAACGTGGACGTTTTGTAAAGATGTAAAAATACAGTTTTATAAATCTTTTAATGATTTGCGCAATTTCCGTTATTCGACGTAATATTCCAAAGAGAAAAATCTACCGAAAGCATTTTCATTTTACAAGAAATAACCTGCCAAGAAATTGAAGGTGGATATACCCTGCAGGGCACATTAGGTGCTTTCTCACTTGGAAACGTCATTATTATCGGATGAACCAGCTGGAATATTGTTTCGCGGTTTCCTATCCATTTCGAATCACTTTGAATTTCATCTCAATTTTAAATTGGTTTTAATAACTTTCCACTAGTAGATATCTTATATCGAACTAATTAAATGCTGTTGGAGTCGGTAGCTCAAAAAAAGATAAATTATAGTACTTTTGTTCCTTAAAGTTGGATGAAAAGCTCAATTATTTTTAATATGCCCATATTAAAGATATAGTACATATTATGGTTTATATAAGAGTTTTGTGATAATTTAAACAAAAATTTTAAATTTTACTGTGGTAGCATCTTCTTTATAGTAGGTAGCGGCTTTTCTGGGGAAGTATATTATACGGTCATAGGCTTTCTTTGGTGGGTTACTGGGGCCCATGTTTATAAATGTTAGCGACGCATATGCAAGCCATTAATTGAAATTTTAGCTTTCTATAGTTTGATTCTTTAGTTTCGCTCGTTCCGCCAGGTTGCAACAGTAAACTAAACGTAAGCCCCAGTCGTTCACATTGTCACGGTTTTGTAACTCGCTTAATATCCGGCGTCGACTGGTACGCGATACGTCGGCGAGTCTTCCCGTAATCATACGAGCCGCCATTTTGTTCCGCCTTCAATTTCAAGCCTAGGCATGCCATAGGGGCACAAGTGATGTATAGTCCCGTGTTATATATTTTATTTATTTATTTTTAGTCAAAGAAATAAGACAGCAATTAAGGTATGGTATACTCTGTGACTCGAATCTCAAATTAACACTACTCTTAAATATACTAAAAATGTTATAAAAGTTAAAAAAATGTTTTAAAGATAGTAAAGTAACAGTCTATATTGTCCCACTGTTGGGAAAAGGCCTCCTCTGTACAGAGGGTATTAGGGCATAATAGTCTTCTACGCCGCTCCACTGCATTTCAGATGTGAAAAATATACTCCTTTGAATTTCCTGCTAAATTGATGAATTTACTGCTTTCTGCACTCTCTGTACCAAAGGGTGCAGGGAGTGCAGAAAACCTTTCCTTTTTTTCATATATTTATATTTAATAGTATATTTATATTGGCCTTGGTACCGGGGATTGTGGGTTCCGTTGTCGCACAGGGCAATTATTTGTGTAACCCACAAAATAATTCTTTTAGATCTGTGTTTATTTGCATGGAGAATTTGACATCAAGAAGGCGGTTGAACGCAGTTGCAGAAAACTAGTCGATACTTATTTTTATCTCATGTAAAGAACAGACTTATTACTGGCTTAACGCTTTTAGCATACAGTAAGTTGTGATAATACACATTAACCGACTACGGACTGTCTTGAAAAAAAGTGTTAGGAGTTTTTCTTGCTACGGTCTCCAGAAAGATGTCACCCATAAGGCTCTTCTTCCTATTTTCATTTCATTCAATTGTAAGAGAGGTTTGACTTTGATCCTGTGAGAGACCAAAAATCCCTGGTTTGGAATGCTTTTTGCGTAGACACTTTGATAACCTCCTAGTCAAAGTACTGCCGCGCCGCTGAAATAAGTTTTAGCGCAAATGTGTGTCTCTTTGTGTAAATTTAATATTTGCCCCATTTGATATAGAAACCTAAGATTCATGCGCGGGTAGCAAATCAAAATTTTTGAAAACAGTATGACTTCGACTTATTGTTGCGGCTGATGATAAAAGGTTCGATTGTTTTCTCATTCAAAAATTAAATTTCATCTTCAGCGCAGTAATTAAGTATTATCCAATAAATTAAATACATTTTTAAAAGACCTAAAATATACCTATTCGGGTTATAAATTCTGTTACATGTTTATTCTAAAATAATTGTCACATATTTGTTTTTACAGTAACCATTCACATAACAAAAGGGATTTACACAGTTCCTTAAGCTAATCGAGCTTATTCAAAATGATCCCCACCATCAACCTTTACGGTCAGTCTATAGCAGACCCGTTGCTTCGATGAAGGACGCCTGGAGTAATTTAAAATGAGGATCAGACTTTGAGCAGGCCTTTTCCTCCAAATATTTCCATATTTTATAATCCAACGAATTTTAATCCGAACTAAAAAAGGGGCAGTCTTCGCTTCGGTTCAATTAAATTTCACGCGCTGCTCAGTTTTGCGTGCAGTTCGTTCTTTGATCTGGTGCAATCGTTATAAGCAATTGACCAACATAGTATACAGGAACATTACTCAGAGAAATAAATTTTTAGTGATGATTTCCACTGCCATCCTGCACAATTTGCTATCGTCAGTAAAGTGTTTCCTCATAAAAGAAAATCTACTCCTTTCAAGGATGGTGATGATGAATATAGTTCTTGATGATAGATCAAAATTAAAGTATACCAACGCTACAACCTAAGCTCCTATTGATGGATCAGGCAACGTGTATTATTAAAATATGACGGTAGCTACGGAAAAATATCTCAGTCTGTCCCGTGACCATGAACTCTGTAGTGTCCGAGTATTAAAACGTTGATCAAACGTGAATTCGTATTTTTTTTTATTATTCAACAATATGTAGTATTCGTGTAAACACAAGAAAACATTATACGTCGATAGCTTTTACTGTTTACAATAACAAAAATTAGGAAATGCAAAATAATAAGTCCTTACATATGAAGTTAGCGTACTGACCACTTTGTCGTACTGACTTTATCGTACTGACCACTTTGATCTGAAATATCTCCTCTTTGATTAAGAATTCCAAATTTAAATTTATAAATTCATTTAGCTGGTATGTATGTACATTTGAGTTTTGAAAACAGTCATTCATTTGTTTCTTTCTCATTATTTTATTCTTTGGCGTCGCTTATTACCGCAGACTCGTATCGTGTTCAGAGAGTTGACGTGAATGGCAAGAGATCTCCCGGGGCCCTGGTAAGTATGGGGGTTCCACAGGGATCTATTCTGGGGCCTTTTCTCTTCCTCATCTACATAAATGACCTGCCCTATCTTGTGAATAATGATCATGAGATAGTATTGTTTGCTGATGATACTTCTTTAATTTTTAAAGTTAAACGACATTCTTCAAATTATGACGACGTTAACAATACTCTGTCCACTGTAGTGCATTGGTTTAGTGCTAATAACTTAATGTTGAATAGTAAAAAAACGAAATGTATTAAATTTACAACTCCCAACGTAAAAAGTGTAAAAACTGATGTACTTTTACATGGGGAAGCGTTAGACCTCATTGACTGGACTGTATTTCTTGGCATAACCGTAGATGGCAAATTGCAGTGGGGCCCCCATATTAATAAACTGTCGAGTAGACTTAGCTCAGCAGTCTTTGCAGTCAAAAAAATTAGACAGTTGACTGATGTGGATACGGCTCGTCTGGTATATTTTAGCTATTTCCACAGTATAATGTCTTATGGCATTCTACTTTGGGGAAATTCAGCCGACATAAATACTATTTTCATCCTGCAAAAGAGAGCTATTCGAGCGGTTTATAACCTGGGCCCCAAAGACTCACTAAGAAACCTGTTTAAAGAAATAAAAATATTGACTGTAGCTTCTCAGTACATACTTGCTAATGTTATGTATGTCCACAAAAATAAGAATGACTTTTCAAAATTTAGTAATGTGCATGATGTAAATACTAGGAACAAGCATAAATTAGTTCTACCCTCAACTAGATTGCGTAGTATAAGTAAATCTTTTATGGGACAATGTATACGCTTTTACAACAAAATCCCAGAAAACGTTCAAAATGAATCCGTTGCTAAATTCAAAAAACTTGTAAAGGAACGTTTGTGTGTAATGGCTATTATAGTATTAGTGATTATATGAATGATAACACACTCTGGAAATGAATTGATCGCTCCAGGCTCTTTCAAGTGGAGTTTAATAGGAGTTTAATAATTGTACACATATTTGTAATTTTTTTGGCAAGTAAAAAAAAAATAATGTCCCGCTGAGTTTCTTACGCCGGTTCTTCTCAGGTCAGTGGCTTACCTTGCGAACCGGTGGTAGAGTTTTTTGACTATCAATAAGTAAGTGAATGCTTCTATATTGAATAAAGATATTTGACTTTGACTTTGACTTTGAGACTGAAAAACATGAAATATCGGTGTCATATTTACGAATACGAGTTCTACCGTGGCACCATTGCTGCAGAAACAGCTCGAAGGATTAATGATGTGTACGGCGCTGTTGTCGCAAAAGCACGGTACGTTTTTATTTTCAACGTTTTCGTTCTGGAAATTTCAACCTTCAGAACCAACTCCGTGGACGACCGGAGACCAAAGTGGAAAATGAAGAATTAAAGGCTAATGTGGAAGCGGATCCATGACAAAGCACTTCAGAGATAGCTGCAGGCTTCGGGTTAAGTGATAAAACTGTATTTATCCACTTGAAGCAAATCGGGAAAGTAAAAAAACTTGAACGATGGGTACCTCATGAATTGAGTGAATCGAACTGGCAAACACGCATCGACTGCTGTGTTACTTGTTATCAACCAACACAATAATGAAGGGATTTTATATCGAATCATTACTTTTGATGAAAAGTGGATACTATACGATAATCGGAAGCGCGCGTCACACTAGCTGAA